TGAATGGGAATATAAGATTCGGCACAGCCGAATATTGAACTCTTACTTGTTATTTTTCTTTTTCGTTCTTGAAAAGGTACTACTGAAATTTCTATAATATTGAACCTAGAAACATGAAATTAAGTTTAACATTTGACTAAAAAACCGATGTCCCTGGTTCGTATTCTAGCTGGCTCTTTTTATTATTAAAAAACAAAACAACTTACTCAACAACTGTTTTGTAAGAGAAAATGCAAGTACTTCTTTAACTCCCTATTTGTAAGCGTGAGTAGAAGTACTTGCCTCCAAAGACATCGCCGTGTTAAAATAATGACTTAAAATGCTAATGAAGAAGTAGTGAAAAGAGGTTTTATTAGCTTTTTAAATCATTACTTTTTAATGTAAATTAAAAATTGATTTTTTTAAATATAATTATATTCAACTATATATGTATATATATATTTTCGGCATTTAGAGGGTTGACACTATGTTATAGGCACCAAATGAAAGCTAATTATGTTTTCTATATAATACTTGGGAAATGTATATGTGCTTATATCGGCCACTTTTCGATATGTGCTTATATCGGCCACTGAGATAACTCAGTAGCTTGAAAGAAAATGTCGTAATTTTTGGTTCTATTTGTACTTGTTTCAAGTTATGCTAGTTCTCTTTAACATATGTAGATTAATGGTTTTTAATTTTCATTTCTATTAGGACCAATAATTGCGTTTTTAATTTTTCTTTAAAAAAAATCGCTGATAAATTATAAAATCGCTAGTTTTTTCAAAAATAGGTTAAAAATAACTTAAAAATAACAAATTTCCCGTTTGCCCCGGGAATGATTAACAAAATTTCCCGGGAAATACCGACAAACTTTTCCCGAAAATTCTCGGACGGGATTTGCCAAACCCCAAACTCGAACCCCCATATAGGGTCTCCTACAAAAAGTGATTTTAACGCACTTTACAATCCATAATAAAACAAGAATTGTAGCAACGAAAATATGCCTACCAGAGAACTGCAAAAATATTTTTTTTTTATAATGGGGAAAATTAAATTGAATATAATGAAGAATAGTCCACAGTTTATTAAAAATTACTAAATCATACGGAAACATAAAAAATAGGGTCAAAATTGGTCAAAAATATGTGACATTAAAAATGGATGATTATTAAATTTTTAAAAATATCGCTAAAAAATTAGTCCCAAGACCATTTTAAGTTACCGCCAAGCTGGAAAACATCCTTAAGAAACATATAAGCGAAAATAAATACCGAAAAAATTCACTGAGGGACCTAATTCGTGAAAAAATAATTATGATATATCAAAAAATATAAAGCAAAAGTACCACACTTTGCCATGTATAATGGACATACGAGTCACCTTTTAAATTTAATATATTATTTGAAAAAAAAACTGATATCCATTTGCAGAGGATCAAGGCACAAAGCAGTACAACGGTTTCGCCTGTGTCTCAGTATTGTTTTGAAATATGTCGATTATAAAGGATTTAGAGATTAAGTTTGAATTGTATTCTCTCAACTATATTTTTTTATTGGTGTTTCTATCTTTGGAGCAACATAAAATGCTCTTGGGACTAAGTTTTTAGCGATATTTTTAAGAATTAAGTGATCATCCATTTAAAAAGTCATATATTTTTGACCTATTTTGACCCTATTTTTTAGGTTTCCGTATGATTTCGTAATTTTTCATAAACTGCGGACTATTCTTCATCATATTTAATTTAATTTTTACCATTAAAATGCCCATATACCCAATTAAAATTTTAACATCATAACCTAAACTTGTGCCTCGACAAGAATTTCCATTATTTTTCTATTCCTTAAGTTTTTGGAGGTTTTTTTGTGTGAATATCTGTGTTTAGGAAAAAAGAACGTGCTAAACTATGAAAAGAATTTATGTTTCCGGTTAATTTTGAAGCATTTTTAACGATTTGTGGAAACGTATAAATACTTTTGAAAAGAAAATAATTTGTTTGGAGGGTTTTTTGTGTGAATATCTGTGTTTAGGAAAAAAGAACGTGCTAAACTATGAAAAGAATTTATGTTTACGGTTAATTGAAGCATTTTTAACGATTTGTGGAAATGTATAAATACTTTTGAAAGGAAAATAATTTGTACAAATAATTTTGAAAATTGAGATTGTTGACTTCTTTTTGGATTTTTACCAAGAGCCACCACTTTTTTCAAAAAAGTTTTAACTAGCTCAATCTATACACTTTAAGGAATAGTATAGGAATGATTTTTTGTTGCAAAATTACAAACAAAGTATCAAAATTTGTTTTTAATTCGAAACATACTTAAATTTTCAGTATGTCTAAATAAATATGACTATGGCTGTATTTCAAAAACACATTTGTATAAAAATATCAAAACAAAGAAAAACCAATTTGAATCATTGTATTTTCATACACAATTTTTTATTCACACATTTAAATGAATAAAATATGGTATTGACTAAAATCAAAACATTTAAAAATTAATGAATATAATCAGAACTGATTTACTTTTAAAAAATGTCAAATGATCAATATTAGGTGTTAGAGCAAATTTGTAAAGATTTGTATTTATTATCGACGCAGCGCAATGATTTGGTTAATAGAGAATATTAACCAAATAATTGGCAATTTTAAGCAATATAGATTTATTTCAAAGTCAAAGTGTTTAAAAATGTTTACATCAGAAGATAAAGGAAATTATAGTGAATGGGATTACTAAAGATGTCCAACGAATTTCATACCTCTATGGTTTCGTTTTTTTTCATAAATATTTGAGCAATGAATCACACACATTGATTGTTGTCTTTTTGAGTTTAATTTCTATTCAAAAAAAAAAAATTTTTGATTCGATCGAATAAACACTCAAATTGATTAGAATGAATTGAGCAATGACTTTATTCATAAAACAAAACAAAATATACAAATTTGATTTCTTTAAAAACAAATTTGAATTTTTTGTTGAAACAATTTAGAACATTTGAAAAAAAATACACAAAAATACAATCATTTTTAAGATGTGAATATTTTTCAATCACCGATTGCAGTTCTCTGATGTCTACCATTTTATGAGGATCGAAGCCTATTTCACCCTAAACCCATATGAAATCCTCTTTAGAAAATGACTTAAACGTTTATAACTGGCTTAACCTATATTTATGAAACCTAATTTTATGAGCATCGGTCCGCCAATAAACCATCTTATAGAAATTCTGTTTAAAGTTTAGCATTATAATAGAAAAAATAATTACATCTTTAAATTATGAAGATGTTGGTCCATAATTTACCCAATCCCACATTGAAGGCCTTATTTCGAAAATCACCCTGACATTCATATTAATGTAATGAACAAAGTCCATATATAGGACCACCGAATTCACTTTTCTCACAACATATGATTTGATTACTACACTGAAAATAATCCATGCTCAACTTTACGAAAAAAAAATTTCGTAACTTCTATTTTCGTAATATTTACAAAAATTTCGTGTATAATACGAAATATTATTTAATAAAACCCTTTTCTATTTTTACCAAAGTACGAAAACCTTTCGTAATATTTTTTTCTTAAATTTTAGCGAAATTAAACATAATGATATTAATTATATTATCATTAAATAAAACTACAACATTTTTATAAAATTTAAGAAAAAGTATAATATTATTCACGAATTATTTGCATAAAAAAAATTAAAAATTCGTGTGGAGAATAATTTTGAACTAAAATTAGAAAAATTATTTTAAAATGAACAAAAATGTTTGCATAAATTTATATTTCGTAAATTTTACCATATTTATTCAAAATTCTCTTTTTTCAATTTATGTAAATTAATTTTTTCAAGATTATTTTGCATTATACTAAAATATTTCGTACAATTTCGTATATATTACGAAAGAATTTCGTGGTGCGAAACAACGAACGATGCGCACAATGTACGTTATTTTTCGTATATATTAGGCATGGATTTTTTCAGTGTACACTGAAAATACGAAAAATAAATTCGAAACTTCATTTTTTGTAGTATTTACAAAAATTTAAGAAAAAGTATATTATAATTCACGAACTATTTTCATAAAAAATGAAAAATTCGTGTGGAGAATAATTTTTAACTAAAATTAGAAAAATTATTTTAAAATGAACAAAAATGTTTGCATAAATTAATATTTGTTAAATTTTACCATATTTATTCAAAATTCACTTTTTCAATTTATGTAAATTCATTTTTTCAAGATTACTTGCATTATAATAAAATATTTCGTACAATTTCGTATGTATTACAAAATAATTTCGTGGTGCGAAACAACGAAAGATTCGTACATTGAACGTCATTTTTCGTATATATTAGGCATGGATTTTTTTCAGTGTATATAAGATTCGGCATAGCCTAATATAAGACTCTTAATCATTTTAATCATACGGAAAGTACCCAAAAATATATTTTTAACACACTACCATTACTGCTAAAATACCTTTACCGAAATATGCCAAAATAGCGATAACTCTAAAATATCAATGGCGAAGTAAGTAAGTTTGAACCAAAACACCAATTACCGCTAAAATACCTTTACCGAAATGTGCCAAAATACCGATAACTCTAAAATATCAATGGCGAAGTAAGTAAGTTTGAGCCAAAACACCGATACCGTTACCGAAATAAATTTAAATACCGATACCGCTACCTTATCACGTTTCGAAACGGTTGCCAACCTTGGAAACGATTTATATTTTGTATTGCTTATCGATCTCTTTATAAAGTATGGATATTAATGAAGTTATGACTTTTATCTGACAAAACAAATTTTCGCTATTATAACATCACGAACTTCGCGAAAAACAATTACACGGACAAAACAATTTTTAACCCAGAAACCAGAGTATACTTTTCTAAAGTTTCAAAAACAAGACGGATGTTGTAGCTTATGAACTTATTTTTGTTATTTTCATACATTGATATACATATGTACATGTTCTATTTCTGTTTTGCATTTTTTTATTTTTTAGCACTGGTTGGACCTGGGAAAATCTGTTATAAAACAATGCAAAGGTAAGGTTTATTGAATATACGTTATTTTTATATCGACAATTTCATGTCAAGTGATCCAACTTAAAAACTCGATTGGGATTAAATTTGCAACAAAGTTAGTACTATTGGATAGTAGGCGCTATCGGTTAAGTTAGAGGGGGTCAAAGTTGGATATTTTGGTCATATAGATTTTTTTCAAATGAGTGTAACTTTGAACCTATTGGTCCAAATGAAGGTTGCTCTAAAAATTTCTTAATTTTAAAAAACAAAAATATTTTTTTTTTTTCAAAATGGGTAATTTTTTTGTTAAAAGGAAAGTTTATACACTTTCCTTTAAGGGTTTTTTAGTTACTTAATGAGATGCGAGAGGGAATTCTATCCAAACATTATTTTTAACTCAAGAATAAGATTTTTCAATATTTGGCATTATACCACTTTCATTTCCCCTTTTTTTTTTTTTTTAACAAAATAGACTTTTTTTAGACCATTTCCTTAATGAGCTTTGTGGTCCCTTAGAGCGAGTTTTTGAGTAGGCTATTAATAAACTGATTAGTGAATCTAAAAATAAATTTAATCTAATGATAATCCCCTTTGATGTTTTTGAGTACAATTTTTAACTTCATAGTGTTGCCATGTAAAACAACAAGAAAAGTCACTGTTTGCTATCAAAACAATGTATGTTTTATAAAAAAGAAGAAGATCGAAGTGGAATATAAAAATTAACAAAAACTTAAATTAAAAACAGAAAAATATATTTTAAAGTCTACATAATTTATACTAATCAATAAATAACGAATTTTAATGTTTATTTTTATAAAAATTGTATCAATTTTTTTGCATCAGCTGTTTACACTTTTCCATTTTTTGCTCAAGCTTAAACCACCTCCATTGGGCGATTAAATTTACAAGTAAAACTAAGTACTCAAAACTGAGTACAAATTTTGGCATTAACCCTTGTTTTAGCGAAAAACCTCCAAAATATGTATATTTCTTTGATGTCAATATATTTTCAACATTTAAGGTTTTAAACCTGGAAAAATTCAAGACCAAGTGTTGTTCCATCTGGAAGTTTTAAGCATTGAATATTAAAATTTTGGAAAAAGGCTTGAATATAATATGTTTTTATGTTATCGTATCGTATGTTTTTATGGTACAAAAATACGATTTTAATCATTATTTACATTACGCAATATTTTAAATATACCCAGCAAAAACTCGGTATTGTACTTCCATAACTACTTACTTTTTATTGACTACTACTTACCGTCTGCATTCTTAAAATCTGATATAGAAGTACTTTATTTTCGGCTTTGTCATTCTGTTTGCACATTTTATTTAATTGCGTGTTAAGAATTGTGTTTTACAAAAAAAAAAAAAAAAAACAAATTAAATTTGTATGTAAAAACCATTAATACATAAATTAGCTAAGCAGTGCTGCAGTGAGTAGGACATTTGACTAAGAAAGCGAAGTCCCTGGTTAGTATTCTAGCTGGATCTTTTTATTATTAAAAAATAAAACAACTTATTGAACAACTTCTTTGTAAGAGAAATTGCAGGTTCTTCTTTAACTTCCTATTTGTAAGCGAGCGTGGAAGTACTTGCATCCAATGACATCATCGTGTTAAAAAACTAATGACTTAAAATACTAATGAAGAAGTAGTGAAAAGACGTTTTATTAGCATTTTAACTCATTGCTTTTCAATGTAAGTTTTTCTTTGGTATAATCTAAAATGAAATGTAATTGTCAATTAAATGTAAAAGTTTTTTAAATGTAAATATTTGTTGAAATTGTTTCATATGTTTTTTATTTACAAAAAATTTAAAATATGTATTTGAAGTAGCATATTTTTCCTTTCAGGCATATGGGAACACACTAAAAATTTGAAACTAATCAAAGGAAATCAACTGCAATCATCCAAAATATTAATTATTGTCCTAAGCAGTTTAATATTGAAAATCAATGTAAAAAGTTTTGAGTAAAAATTTTAGACTACTTCGTAAAATATGACGTTTTTTCATTACTTAAGTAGTTTTCTCCGAAACTACCAAAAATAATTCGATGAGTTTTATATAGAGTTTCAAATTTCCCGGACTTTTTCCAATCCCGGGAATTGACTTCTAAAAATTTTTATTTCCGGGAAAGTAATAAAATTTTTCAATATATGTTAGCCTGAAACTTTTTAAAGACACATTTTACCTTTTATAAGTTTTCGTAATTTCTGTATAACTAGAACGTGGTAAAAATTATATTTACAGAATAAAATATAAATATTTTATACATTCCATGAATATTTTCCAAAAAGAAATATTTTAATTTTAAACGGGTTTGCATTCCTATTAAAAGCGGTCTTACTTCTTTCGTAATAAAAACTTTCTATTCTCAAAAAAGGAATTGGAACTGTAATTATTGATTTTTTAACCTATTAATTAAATATTTCAGTAAAATTAGATAAAAATTAAGAATTTAAACATATTATACATTAACAAAATTTATCGGAATTTCAAGAAACTAATAGAAAAACTACTGAACTATGGACTAAAAACAATTCCGATTAGTGACAGTCCTTTTTGAACTACAAAGTTGGGCTCGTTACTTCCCACATTTATGGTTAGAAATAGTCCCATTATCTCATTCTCCAATGGGTAAGATTTCACAATTTTTAGAACAAAATAAATTCCTTTATTTTGTAATTACAATTTGTAGTACAAATAAATAATAAAAATTATTTGCTAAACAAAATTTTGTAGAACAAAACAAGTTAATTTTTGTGGTTCAAGAAATACTTTATACTTTTATTTGTACAAGATTTGTAATAGGTATTTTTTTTTTTTTTTTTTTTGAATATTCCAATACAACATTTTGTTAAAAGTTTTTGTAAATTTATCTGAAATATAACCAAAAAGACAAAGATGTGCCAGAATTAAAGATTCTGGAAGTCCAAAATTGGCTTCTTTGAAACAACAAAGGGCCACAAAAAGAAACATTACTTGTTTAGAAAAGAAAATCGAAAAGAATGGAGATACTGCTGATGCAACAATTTCGCAATGTCGGCTCGAAATTTTAGAGTCCTACTTCATACAGATTTCCTATATTTAAGGGAAAATTGAAAAAGTCCTTTCGATGTCACTAGAAGTGACTTGGAAGAAATATATATTGCAGCCAAGGCAAAAGTTAATCCAGCTCCTCCTGAAATAATGCAACTTCTTTAGTAGCTCGTTCGTGCAAAAGAGCCGTAATACCAACTGCAGTGATTCTTATTAAAGATAATTTTGGTTCTTTTCAAACTGTTAGAGTTCTTCTGGATTCCTATTCTGAAATTAATTTCATTACAAAACAAACTGCCAAGAAACTCAATCTTCGTTTTCAACCAAATTGTCAAGATGTTTCTGGAATAATTGAAATTCAAACAAAAATTAGATATAGATACAACAAGGTTCACAATTCCAGAAACCATACAACATGCAGACACGCTTTTCTATAAGCCCCAACGCATTGATTTGTTAATTAGTACGGAAATATTTTTCGATTTGTTGCTCGAAGGACGCATTTCGTTGGGACGTGGCATGCCTTGCCTTGTTAATACAGTTTTTGGATGGATTGTCGGTGGAAAATTCAACGCTCAACAAAATCCCTCGACCCTTACATGTAATTTGGCCCTAGATTCTTCAACTTCAATTCTTGATAACACATTGAGAAAATTTTGGGAAGTTGAGGAATATGTAAGTGGTCCTCAAACATTCGTGTGAGAAACATTTCACCGAAAATTTCAAAATTAACTCAGACCGAAGAATTAAAGTTTGGTTACCATTTAAACAAAATCCTTATTATTTAGGTGAGTCTTTAAAAATTAGTAAACGACGATTTTTGTCGCTCGAAATTAGATTGGAACGTGATCCCACTTAAAATCTATGTATGTCGATTTTGTGAACGATTTTGGCACTTGGTCTTATGTCGCTCTATTACCGTCCTCTTTTGCATCCACATTACATCATACCTCGTCATTGTGTTCTCAAGCCATGAGAGTACAACAACAAAGCTTCGAGTCGTTTTCGATGGGTCAGCTCGCACAACTTCGAATCGTTCCTTAAATGATATACTCATGGTTGGTCCAACTATACAACAAGATTTAGTTACCATACTCTTTTCGTTTCGTTTAAATAGATTTGCTCTCACTGCAGACATATCTAAAATGTACCGCCAATTTTTAGTCGATGAACGTGATCGTAAATTTCAATTGGTTCTTTGGAGATCCAATTCAAAAGACAAACTATGCGTGTTTCAACTAGACACCGTTGCGTATGGGCTCTCAGCAGCACCGTCTTTGGCTATTCGAAGTTTGTGTTTTATCGCCGATCAGCACTGTTCAACTTTTCCCATTGGTTCAAAGGTACTTCGTGAGGGTTTATACGTAGATGATGTTCTCACTGGCTCTGATAGTCTCGAAATCTTAGAACTCAAGAAATCTGAAATTATAAAAATTCTCAGTTTTCATTGTCTTCAGCTCGCAAAATGGAATAGCAATTGTCCAGACTTCGTAACCAACAACGATGAAGAAGTTGCTATTAAAACCACTGAAGAAAATATTACAAAAACACCTGGAATCCTACACAGGATATATTTTTGTTTCACTTTAACTTGCACGATGTAAGTAACCCCACAAAACGTTCAATTTTATCGATAGTGTCAACAATTTTCGATTTTTCTTGAGCCCTATTGTAGTTCGTTGCAAAATGCTGCAAAATGAGCCGAAAACATCGGTTGGGATGATCCCCTCATAATAGTTTGACATTGATGTGGCTCCAAATTAAAGCAGATTTGGAACATATTCATGAAATCACAATACTTCGATATGTTTTTACTTCGGAAAACATACTCGGCGAAATACATGGCTTCGCCGACGCTTCGCAACGCGCATTTGGATACTGTATTTACTATCGCGTCTTAGAAAATAGTTCTTACAAAACTTCTTTGTTAATCGCCAAATCGAAGGTGGCTCCAATAAAAGCCCAGTCTTTACCTC